CTCGTACTTCCTGACTGCTATTTTTTATGGATTGGTTTCGTTTTTGAATAATTTTAATGTATGTACGTCCTTACGTATGTAAAATTAATTCGTTGAAATGTACGCCGCGACTTCTCTCGTTGGCATGAAATCGAAAGGCCGACTTTTCCCTGACTCGGCCCCATATCTCATTGCATGTTAGGTGTGGTGGTGATTGATTGGAGCGGCTTCTCCATAAAGCGGCTATTCAATTTTTACGCTCGTAGCTCGACATTTTTTATGTTGTCTATTGTGTTACTACTAGAATAGATTTCCTCTCGAACAGTAACTGCAGGTCATCAACATGAAGTGGTTTGGAAAAGCGCTGGCTACTGAAGTTCTGCTGGCTGAATGAAGTTCCGTAAGTAGATGAAGTCCACCTCAGAGAGTTCCTCGTGAGTGTTGAGGAAATATACGCCAAAATGCTTAAACTGAAACACGCGAAAGCAGGGCAGCGAAGAACGAAATATTGAGATAAATAATTCCACTTCATCTTCCCCCAAACAGCTATGTCGATATTGGTCCGGAAAAATTTTAAGGCCTGAGTTACTCTCGGCACGGAGATTTGACTCTTACACCCTCCCTGTCTGGAGAATTCACCTCAAAGGTGCCTCCCGAAAATCTGGAAGCCTAAACTTAAGATTAACGAAGACTTCATGACAGAACACATACATATCCTTCAACTCCACTTCGAACCATCCGTTACCGTATTACCAGACCTTTGTTCCAGAATATGTAAGTCTCCCATTCACTCCTTACAGGGATGGGTATAGAGAAGAGTCCAATTGGAGTGAGCTTCGCAAAGATTCGTTGCTTCAGGTATGAAGTCGAAGATTTACCAGAAAGCAGTGCTTCTTACTCTAATGATGAAGCGGACTGCGGATATGACATTAAGGATAGAGTTATAGGTGCTGAACTAGGAGTCATCCTGAGAGCTTCGTTGATTTGCCCCATGAACGGCCCTTTGAATGTACTCTAACTGTTTAAGTACTATTGAATTCCACCTGACAATGACCCCATATAACATGATTGGCTTTATTATGGCTTTCTACAAGCAGTTGATTACCTTTGGAAAGAGGTTCCACCTCTTTTGCCTGGCGCTTTTACAGGAGTATAGCCACAGTACTTGGCTTCTATAATAACTTTGTATCTAGGATAACGAGCACATACTAGGCGTTATCAGAGAGCACTAGGCTATACTGCGTAGTCAGAAATATTGCTCTGACGATTAGATCCACTTCGCCATCATAAGCAATAGGCCTCTCCTTTCCAGCTCATCCAGTATGGCGTTGACGACGACAATTCTGAGATATGTTGTGAGGACGCCGCTTTATGGATCAACCTCACTCGCGCTATGCTGGATGGAAGCCATTCAGAGAAATGCACACATCGCGGATGTTTCTTCAGATTTTTTTAAGCTAAGGAGTATACACGGTATAGAAAAAATGCGAGACTTAAACAAAAATCTCGCTAGAGACGTGTAAACACTCAATATAGCTCTATGAGGGACTCACCTACACAGTCTACGTGAGAGTTTTTTAGCAAGACTTTTTCGGCGTGTACACAGTCTAACGCAGCTAGACCGAACACTGTACGACAACTCTACGCTCCATTTGGCAAACTAAATAGAGTTTTTGCTCTACGGAGATTTATGTTAAAGTCTTTCACATGAAGTTCATCATAGTTTGTTAAATTTTGAAATGACGACGATATTAAATCGTATATGCGGTACAAGCACACCATTTTAGGTACATCTAGAACGTAGCTAAATGACTTATTAGGAAATTTTCTCCTACTGTCATAGGCATTTCAACGGCTTTTCCAATTGGCTCCCAATTTNAATTAGAAAATTTAATTTTCATGCCTAGTGCGAAAAAATATTTTATGACGTCAGCGAGGATGTGAATGCTGTCAAATCGACGAAGGGTTAGCGGTCCGCAGATGGCGCCATCTTTATTTTCTACATAAAACAAGCGTTGAAAACAATTCGAGATAGAAAATTAACCCTAGGCGAGAGGTAACAATTGTCTACCGTGTACACAGCTTGTAGAGTACGTGGTAGAGAAAAGTTGAGATTTCTCTATTTTGACTCCAGCTAGAGTGAATATGTATCTCTTTAAGTTGCTCTGCCGTGTAAACTTAATTCAGAGAGGAGATTTTAATTTCAGAAAAACTCTAGAGAGATTTCGCTACCGTGTACACTTAGCTTTAATCAGACTTTTTTATTTTTATGATATGTACATTAGGGTGGTCCTTAAATCTTAAATTTTCGTCTCGTACCGTCCCGCAAATTCTTAAATACCTTTCCGATACCGCTCATCTCGACCATTTTTAAATCAGTACCGTAGGTCCCGGTATCCCGCGCCGATTACTACTTCAAAGTCCCTCTTCTACATATGTATGTATAATTGATACCCAAAGTCTTTCTTCGTATTTTCTGACAAGTTCTTTTGAAGAACGCTTGCGAATGAGACTGTCGAAACCTCGTGTTTTAATCATATTTAAAAGGCTCCACCCTCAACCAATAAACAGCAAGTCCATGTGGCTTAATATATAAAATGTATTTATTTTATTATTTAAATAATTATAATACTTTAGTCATGTTCTAAACAGATAATTAAATAATACATACATACATATTTACAAAACACATCATATGTAATATGGCAACATTAACTACAATGATGAATGATTTAAATTCGTAATAAATAATTAACAAACAACAACAATAACGTTATACGCTGCCAACTGTGGCCGCTCAATGTATTGTACAATGTACTCGCGCCCGACTTCGCTTTTACTTCGGGCAGCTGTGGCAATGCATTTATTTGACTCTCATCCAAACCTGGTCGATAACTCCAATCGATTGTGTTGGTCTTGCAAATTTTCGCATAAACTCTGGCGGAGACCTTTGGTGTGCGCGTACGATTGGGATGATTGAAATCCACATGATAGAGACCGAATTTTTCACTACAAAAAGTGGAAGAGAGAAGAGAAGAACTTCATTAGCATAATTTGTGATGATGTGATGCAAAAAATGGCAGATAGTTACTCCTACAAAGTGAGTTGAGACTGTCTCGAAACTTTTAGTGAACTGTCAAAATGCGTATTGGTTGATCCATGTGAAATCCAATTGTTATAATCGACTATTTTTTATTTGGATGAATTTTGGTCAGAACTTTTCTCTTATCAAATAACAACGTTCTGCCAACGAACAACAAAATTATGAAAAATAGTTTCGAAAGTTCAAAATTTCACGATTTCCTGGATTTTGCAATTTTTCTTCTGAGTATCTCATAAACTATTCTAATTATAAAGGGTATATTCGGGGCTATTTATATAAAAAAAATATATATTTAAAAAATATTCCAAAATAAAAAAATTACAGAATTAAAAGCAAAAACTTATACATATGTACAAATTTTTGGCTCAATACATACCTCCAACTGATCTTAAAATATCCTGAAAATTTCAAGGTGTTCTTTGTAAAATTATGAATTTTTGAACCTAAAAACATGTATTGTTAACTTTAAATTAAAAATTGGTTTAAATTTTATAAAAACTATACAATACCAACAACCACAGGATCAAGTGAATTGCAGCGGAATAGCTGCGCTTGATTGTGTTGGCATAACAAAAATGAAAATAGTGGAAAAAAGCAAACGATAATTTACAAGGCGTACTTAGCACGGTGCATAGGCAACTGGCTGAGTCAGTGGGATCGTCGGTTCGAATCCTACTGAAAGAAGTCTGATGAGGAAATGTGGTGATTTCCGAAATAGCTATCACTTCTACCATTTTTTCAAATTATTGTTGCTTTTCCACAATAAAAATGTTCATTTAGAACGGCCTCGAGCTCAATATAAATTGTTGAATATTTAACAAAACTTTATTTCAAATTAAAAAAAAAGCATTTCACAGTTCAAAAATTCATACCTTTTAAAAAACACCTCTTTGAAAATTTTAGGACCTTTTAAGATCANTTAACAAAACTTTATGTCAAATTAAAAAAAAAGCATTTCACAGTTCAAAAATTCATACCTTTTAAAAAACACCTCTTTGAAAATTTTAGGACCTTTTAAGATCAGTTGGAGGTATTATATAGCAAAATTTAGACAAAAATTTGTATTGTACATAGATGGTTTTTATTCCCGAGCGCACTTGTGCACAAGGGTATTATAACTTTGTTCACATAACGGTTGTTTGTAACAGGCAAAACGAATCGAGATAGATATAGACANAAAACACCTCTTTGAAAATTTTAGGACCTTTTAAGATCAGTTGGAGGTATTATATAGCAAAATTTAGACAAAAATTTGTATTGTACATAGATGGTTTTTATTCCCGAGCGCACTTGTGCACAAGGGTATTATAACTTTGTT